TTCATTATGGCTCATGATGTTGAGCACTTTTTGAGGTCTATATTAGACCGATCTGAGGCATTGATCAATCAAAGTGGAAGTAAAAATGATTCTTTTCTGAGTGACTTGTTGGCTCATGTGGAATTAGTCGGAAAGGCAGTGGAATTTCTGCATGAAATACGTCATGTGTCGCATATAGATTTTGAAGATTTGGAGAGATGGAGAGATGGAGAGAGTTGGAGCAAGTTTATTCTGACATTGAAAAGGAATTTATGAATATAAAAAATTTACAAAATCGAAATTATTTACAAAATTTACAAAATCGAAATTATTTTCCCAAAGTAGAGGATATTTTTCTTTTAAAGACTCCGCGATCTTTCTTCTAATTTCTCTTTCATCATCATCCTCCACCAGCATCAACATACCCGAAGCTAYAATGGAGTCCCATTTCAAATGTTGAGACTCGTCATCTTCATCATCAAAACATCGTAACAAAGCGAACTCTAGCGCCTTTTTCTCTTTCTTAGGCTTTTCTCTAGCTTGCTTAGTACGATCATAGTTGCCTCCAGAGGCTGCTCGCAATCTTTCTGGACGATTTAATCTCCTGCACAAACCAGAAGAAGAACTTTCASGAAGCATGCTACTAGCTCGTCTCAAAGTTTCTTGAATTGTTGACGAAGTGGGTCTAGGAGTAGATGGGTCGGTACGTTGCGTGGACGTTTCAGAGTTATTTGAAAGTAGGACTGAAGCTTCGTTCAGTAGTTTGGAAACTTTCTTCTTTACTTCATCCTCCTCCKTTTTAATCATGAAAAGCAGCCGTATTATGAAAGCAAAGCAATACGAAATGAACGTGGTATAAAAATCCAAGATGGCGGGAACTCTACTTGACAACGAGGCAGTGCTCTGGCCGAGCAGCTCGCCCCAGTAAGATTAAATATACAAAAGTTTAAATTCAAATCCAAAAGTTTAAATTCACAAATAAAATCGGTTTGGATTCAAATCAACAAGTTTAAATTCACAGAAAATAATGTTCAAATTCACAGTTATAAAGTTTAAATCAAAGGCACATCAAGAGGATTAAATATTGCTACAAACAGGCAGCCATACTATTGTTTTGAAACTCGTCGGGATATCTTTGTTATTCCTTTCGTGTCCTTTGGGATACTCATGAATTTTTCAAAGAGTAAAAACAAAAGAAAATGAAATCCCCTGGAGGTTCCTCATGCTGAATTGGGAAAACATTGTCACACATAAGGTCAATTATTTACTAAAGTAGTTTTAAGATCAATAAAAAATTTTAGTATATATATTAATATCACAATTAATGATATTAATAATACAGATCACAGGGCCTTATATTTTAAGTACATTTTATCCTCTGATTACTATTATTACATTAGTTTTATTAGAATTATTACATTCATTATTACTGGTAAATAAAAATGCAGTCATGTATTATCAATTTTCCTTGTTCTTAGGCACCATATTTTATCTATGTGGAAGTACTTTGTACAGAAAATGAAAATGAACCTCTTCCTTCCAAGAGATTTGAGAGTTCTTTAAGACAAACCAGGTAAGGACTACTAGTGGATGGTGGTTTTTGTAATTAATATGTTTAAATGACAATAAATATTTCTTTGTTGTAGGTCAGAGGAGCACTTACCAACATACTGCCGTTCAGAATCTGTTAAATTTACAGTAAGTATTAATTTTATAAAATATAGTTATCTATACATCTTGTCTAAATAGGAAATTTTTTTTTCAATAATGAGCAATGATGGCAAAAGCGCCAAAAACTAGACTTTCGTATGAGTTTTGATCCCAATTTTCGTTTTAGGTTAACACTCAAAACCTTTTTGAAACAGTTAGAAACTGTTGTACTATGATAAAATGCCTGTTTGAAGTGGAATTTTCAATTGTACATACGAAGATGTTTTGTTGCATTTGTGTTAGAAAGTTGCTGTCAGGCTTTTTTATAGAAAAATATATGGGAAATAAGCAAATGAAGGCCTAAACCTCATTTTTGAATAAAATTTTTGCTTTGGGTTAACACTTTGATTCCACTTTCATCRGTCATCTCCACTTCCAAACAAGTTAAACTTTCTGAATAACAAGATTTTAGCCTTGTACAACAGCCTTTCTTCAAGAAAATAGTCTTTGCGCTCACTGCTTGAATACGAAAAGAATCCTTTCTTAATATTTATCCATACCCTGGATCAACGTTAAGGGCTTTGCACCAATCGAATTCAAATTCACCTACCAAAGTCAAATCACAGATCCAAATGTAATTCAGTTGTTTGGTTTTAAGGAAGGTTTTGTGGAGAAATTGGAGAAAAACCCTCAAATCAAACTTAACGTTTTAATCATACATTTTCTTGTTTCAGATTAACTCATTAGATTCTGATGATGAGTGTTGGTCAGCAGACATTGGGCAGAGTGCTGCACAGGAGTCTGCACCACCAGTTAAAAGTGAAGCAAATGGAACAGAGGTGGGATATTTGCTAGTATACTGGTATAAGGCCATGAGGATGATGGTTGGGATAATGATGGTGTTGGAGATGGATAATTGATGTTGATGTTGAAGGTAATGATGCATGATGATAGTGGTGGTGGTGATGATGATAATGATCATAATAGATGATGATGTTGAGGGTTATGATGATGATGATGGTGGTGGTGAAAGTGATGGTGTTGGAGATGTATAATTGATATTTTTGGTGATGATGCATTATGATGTTGGGGTAGTGATGGTGATAAGGATGTCGGTGGTGATGATGATAATCATGATGATGGTGATGAAGCATGATGCATGATTCATAATGATTGTGGTGATGGTAATGATGATGATGATGATAATGTTGATAATGCTAACAGTGCATGATCAGATGATAAAAGATCATTGAGGTGATGATTGTGATTGTGACAGATAAAGCTAGATGACGATAATTTTGCTGATGTTGATGATTAATTATAATAGTGAGAGCATCATTGATTATGATGATGACTAACATCCAAATGATGTAGATTGTGCAAACATTCATTTCCAAGTATCAGTTTTAATTGCTTTATCCAGCATTGTCTTTTAATGTACATAGTTGAACCTTAACCTATCCTCATTTAACCTAACAGGACACATTTGTAGCCGCAGCTGATATCAGAAGAAGATTGTCTGAACAGATTCAGACACCGACCAGGCAGTTTAAACGAGACCCAGAGGATCCATCAGGTATTTCTTATTTATTCATCCATGCATCTATTTAACGATTAGACAAGAAGGTCAAGTTTTGTCAGCACTCTCACCTCTACGGCACCCATGCTACCCTCTACGGCACCCATGCTACCCACTGTGGCACCCATGCTACCCACTACGGCACCCATGCTACCCACTACAGCACCCATGCTACCCACTACAGCACCCATGCTACCCACTACGCCACCCATGTTACCCCCTATGGCAACCGCTACCCACTACGTCACCCATGCTACCCACTACAGCACCCATGCTACCCACCAAGTGGGAAGTGCAATAGAAGTGTCCCATCCTTGTGTCCAGGTACAAAATGACCTACTGTATAATAACATTGAATATTTTTTCCTTACAGCATCTGTTCTGAAAGAGCCTTTTGAAGAGAAAGAACGTAGAATCAGAGAGACCTCTCCCTATGGTCATCTTCCTAACTGGAATATCCTTTCATACTGTGTTTGTTTACTGATCACAGTTATATTAATTATGATAACATTGACATTTGTTAAAAGATTTTATGCATTCCTTAACAATTCGCACAGTTACTGCCAATGATTGTGAAATGTGGAGATGATTTGAGACAGGAACTTTTAGCTTACCAACTTCTAAGACAGCTACAGGTAAAAAATCCAAACTCACATTTTATTGCTTTTAAGCATAATCAGGGAATGTTATCTTTATTAAAATATCATCATTTTTATTAAACTATTTGTATTTTCAGGCAATATGGAAACAAGAAAGAGTTCCATTGTGGTTACGACCGTAAGTATGTCATCCAATGATAAACATAATGGCATTCAAATTGTCGGAGCAATAACTCATTTGGCATTCCCCTGATTTATTGAGTAGGAGCATTTTCATAATGATCATAATGTCTTTTTTTTAAAAACTTTTTATTACACTCACAAGCAACATCATTAATTAATTACGCTTTCACAGTTGTTTATGATTTTTTTATTTACAGAGCTTATCCTTTAAAGAACTAGAAAAATAACTATAAGAAATGATAAACAAAAAGAAAAACTAACATGCAATGAATATAACAAGAATCAAAGAAGAATAAAACAAACTACAAGAAATTGCAGAAACAACAAATTACAGGAAATAAATACAATGCCTTGGTATATGGATACCTTTCTAATTTTTTTGAAGGGAATCAAGGGAATCAAGTGCTTTGATTAATTTGCTCCACTTTCTTATTTGTTCTATCTTATCTTTTGTTTTGGCCACTTTATATTCAAAATATTCATAATGTTTTATTAAGTTTTGTTATAGTACACTCAGCAAAATTACTCGACTCTGATTGGTATATAGCGTTAATTGTACTCCGTAGGAGTACCGAATTAAGTCGCTATGGCAACACGGCCAAAACAATGTCAAAACTATTATTTTCTATCATTTTGTACTTAAAAAACATATAAATAAAATTTCAAAGCCGTAAGAACTAATGTTTTTTATGCATTTCAGTTGCATGATGTACTGAAAATCGGCCGCCAAATAGACAAAGATGAACGGCATTGCTTCGCATTTTTTACTGAAATTTTGTTGAGTGAACTATAAACAAAAAATCGCATGATCTTCTCGTACAATTTGGAATTAATAGACACTCGTAATGTTTTGAAAGTTCTTTAATCGCCTAGAGGCTCGTGCAATTACAAGAACTTACAAAACATTACTCGTGTCTATTAATTTCCAAATTGTACTCGAGATCGTGCGATTTCCTATACAAATAAAGAAAGAGAAGGGACTTTTCCTATTCTCTTGAACTAACGTGTGACCTAACTGTGATATCTATCATCAATAGAATGATGGACAATCGGAGTTTGTACTAAATGTATTTAAACTTCACTATACATGTAAATGATCATACTCACTTCTTTTGTCCATGGCAAATTGATTATATTAAAATGCAACTGAATTATAATAGATTGGTTTTCATTTCATTCCATTGTTTTGTTTATTAGATTTGCAGTGGTTGTGACATCCAATGATAGCGGACTCATCGAACCCATCGTCAATGCAGTATCTCTGCATCAAATCAAGAAACACAGTCAAATGTCTTTATTAAACTACTTTATGAAGGTAACCTCAAAAACTGTATATCAGTCGGTCTTTGAAGTCAACAATTTTTCAATGATTTAATATTTTATAGAGGCTTTGCACCATCACGTAATGGCAGCCATGACAAGAGGCAGGAACAATTGAATCTGGTCTAATCTGATTTACATGAGAAAGAGTTTATTTTCCCTGGAAAAAAAAGACTTTTGTTGTGCCTCCTGTCATGGCTGCCATCACCTGGTGGTGCAAAGCCTCTATTGAGCATGTTCCAATGTGAGATAGTCAAGTAATGTTATTCCCCATGTGAATCCCAATGGAACCACCATTTTACTCCTGAAATGAAAATAGAAATGTTCCACTTTCCAATTAAGTTCCTGTCCTACAACTTGGTTACCATGAAAATTTTTCTGTTTTTGGGAAATGAAATGTCTTGTCATGCATCAACATTGCATTATTCTTGCCCCTCCCTCCCCCCCTCCCCCTCCCCAATTGCAATTATTGCTGTTGCTGGGCCTCCTTGAAACAAGATCCTTTTGACATAAGTTAATCAGTTACAGTACCATAGCCACCAATACAATTGGTCCAGTTTTAAGCACACCTCTTTTTAACTTTAGTCAGAACAATTTTTCCCCTCTTAAAAAAATATCATACAAGTAAATAAAAAAGCAGAAAAAAACAGACCACACTGTCCAAGTAGTGGCTATGCCCTGGAGTTAGAACGATGAAGATGGGATAAATGCATTTACGGTTCTCCCAAACTTACTTCAAGGGAAAGAAGTGATGTTTGTTGGCAACTAATTTTTGTAATGTTTCTATCCAGGAACATGGTGAAGTCAATTCAGAAGCATTTCTTACAGCACAGCGGAACTTTGTAGAGAGCTGTGCAGCGTATTGCCTGGTGTGTTATATACTTCAGGTTAAAGACAGGTAAATACTACACAACCTGACTTTTAATAGTCCATTACCATGGTGTGAGCTTCCATCAACTTAAGGGAAGAAATTTGTTATGACCAGCTGATCTGAGATTTTTTTTAGCCAATCAGAATCTAGAGAATTGCCAAACTGAGGTGACTTTCTGTCTGTACATTTTGGATTTCCAGGCCACCAAATGATAATTAAGCCATTGCTATTAAGCTCTGGATAACAGTTGCGCCATGAATTAATGAGTTATATATTTTCATTGGCGGGCATTATTATCTTTATCTTTTACTGGTCAAATTTTGCAGGCTTCATGAAACGTCAGTTTTGAAGGACAAAACATACTATTGACATACATACTTTGAAGAAATAGAAAACGCGCGCGCGTGCTGTGTGCTGTCATAAAGCACGCGGGGATTGGCAGAACACGAGAGAAGTGTTAGGAGAAGCACGACGCGTAGCGGAGTGCTTCTGGACACTTCTCGAGTGTTCTGCCAATCCCCAAGTGCTTTATGACTGCACACAGCACAGCAAGCAAGTTTTTTATTTCTTTTATAAAATACAAATTACAATAATAGATAGGAATGACGCAACTGAAAGTGCGCGCGCGTGCAATGTGCTCTCATAAAGCACGCGCTCCAAACCAATCAGAACACGACATTTATAACAGTTATTTTATAATATTATTTAGTACCTCTATTTGATAATATTTACAAGTTATAAATATTGACCCCCAGTCTTGAAGTGGAGTCATTATATGTTTCTATTTTAGACCAACTGGGGTCAATAGTATGTTTTGTTTAAGGTTTTCTTTTCTTTCTTTCTTTTTGTTGGTATTGTTGTTGGTTTTTTTTTTTTTTTTTTTTTTTTTTTTTTTTTTTTTTTTTTTTTTTGGGGGGGGGGGGGGGGGGGGGGGTAAATGTTTGTATTCTTTGTTAAAAAAATGATATGATACAGCGAAAATAATATTTTGTGACCTCATCTCTTCGGTACTGTATTTCCGTGTAGCTTTATATCCACCATTGTTTTTTAATTCATTATTCAGACACAATGGGAACATCCTACTGGATAACGAGGGTCATATCATCCACATCGACTTTGGTTTTATCCTCTCAAGTTCACCAGGAAAACTTGGCTTTGAAAATTCTCCATTCAAATTGACACATGAATTTGTAGAGGTAACTTGCTTTTATATATGTCTGAGAAAATCTCTGTTAAAACCCAATTTTTCCAATCCCCGAAAAAGCATTTTGGCTGATCTAGTCAGGACAGGGCTACAGTAACTCACACASAGCAATTTTCTTTCAACTTGTCTTGCAACAGCTTTGAAAATCAAGTTGCATGGAGCATTGCAGCGTGTAACCTGCAGTGCAATTTAAAAAAAATTGTTGTTTGCGAGACAAATTGCGGCAATCTTTGCCAAAAGTAGAATTCGTTTTTACTTTTGGCATCGATTGCGTCTCTTTTGCACCATGTAGACACTCTTGCAACTCGTGTCGCAATGCTATTGATAGACAAGTTGCAGATAAAATTGCTCCGTGTTATCGTGCCTTTAGCTTGTTAGCGTTTGCGGAGGGAGAAAATCTTCAGAACCCGGAGGATAACCTTCCAATCAAGGGAGAGACCTGACAAACTCTATTCACAAGGGATGTCAAGTCCAGGAATCGAACCTGGTACCTCAGAGGTGAGAAGCGAATGCACAACCTCTACACCACCCTTGATTAGCACCATTTACTTGAGGATGTCTGGATCTATGAATTGTTATTTTCAAACCTGGAAAGAAAGATACTAGAATAAATGTGTTGATTTTATCTTGAGGTGATGGGTGGTATGGACAGTGACATGTACAACTACTTCAAGATCCTCATGTTACAAGGATTCTTGGCTGCTCGTAAGAATATGGACAAGTGCTTAGAGATCGTGGAAATTATGCAGACGGGTATGGATTGAAACTTTACTAGTATTATGAACTCTAGATTTCATTGGGTCGCCTTGTTTTGTTGTTCTTTTCGGAGGGGGGGGGGGGGTAGGGGAGGAAGGAAGTGGATGGTGGTAAATCTGGGGATTATTACAACCCCACCAATGCTGACAGGTTTACGATCTTCACGGCTTTGTACCTATCTATGCATAATTATAATCGCGCTGAGTTCCTGCCATTATTTGTTTATTCTTTCAGACCCCCACTGTAATTTTGACCTGCAAATGTGGTGAAATAAACTAGTACTATGTATTTTTCTTTTCCACTCGCAGGTTCTAATCTACCTTGTTTCATCAACGGTCCTTCTGCCACACGAGGCATGCGTGACCGTTTCCACATGAACTTGACTGAAGAGCAGCTTGATACTCTAGTCAATGGCATGGTAGAGACCAGCATATCCTCACTTACTACCAAATTATACGATGGCTTCCAGTATCTAACCAATGGAATTCTATAGAAAAGACTAGGGAAATCCCACCAGACTCGAAGAAATCAGCAGAGCGCCTCTTGATTAATAATGTTTACGTGGCTTCGAGTATCTAATCAATAGAAATTCTATTAAAAATCCTATGAAAATCCCAACAGATTTGAACAAGTCAACAATGGACAACCTGGTGGTTGAAAAGACCGCCTCTGTATTGATTAATAGTGATTTTTATAGAGGATTTCTAAGAACATTGGAACGATATGCAAAGGACAGCCCAGTGACAACAATGGGTGCCAAACAGCTAAAAAGCTGAAGGCATTGATTTATGGTGTCTTATTTGGAAGTCAAGGTTACTTGAATGAGATATAAATGGCATGACAGCCATGGCATCAGTTGATGCCACTGCTGAGAAAAACGAAGACAACGCACGTGCATTGATTGATAGTGCTGTATATATAGAAGATCAAATTACTGGAATAGAATACAAATGAGAATCGGGACATCAATAGATGCCATTCGTCGAATAAATGCTTCTTACAGTATGGAAAATGAGGACAAAATACTGATAAAATAGAGTGTAAAGGATGGCTCAATAGATGATCGAAGCAGAAATATATCTGATAGTATAATGTTTAAAAAATATTTTTGCTGCTTGTAGGACAAAACTTGGGGATTGATTCTTTTGGTGAGCAGTGCTCATTGCAACTCATGTCGCAACTGTTATGCGACAGGAAATAACTTAAAGGCGCAATTAAATGGAGCAATTTCCCTTGCAACTTGTCATGCAAAAGCGTTGTGACACAAGTTGCTAGAGTGTTTGCACTGCCTCTCGCAACGATTTCTGCAACTTGTCTTGCAACATTGTTTTCAAATTGTTCTGTAAGTTAAACATTGTATGCTCCTTAACGCCGTTGCGAGATAAGTTGCAGAGAAAATTGCTCCTTGTAGTCGCGCCTTTAGCTTCACAGACCAGGATTGCTCCACTAGAAAGTGTCTCTTGCCGCTTGCCTCGCTATTTTGTTGCGTCTTAAAAGAAAAAATGGGACGATGCTGCTTTAGAAAGTATTCCTTACAACTTCTGGCAATTTTGTTAAGCAATGAAAAAAATCCATGTAGTTACATAAGGCCCTGGCTAAACGAGGACATGTTTCCAGAAACATGTTTTCTTAAATGTTTCCAAAGGTGGCAAAACTGTCCGGAAACATCTGGAAACGTTTGCTCACTATCGGTTAGCGTGTGCGCACTTTCAAGATAGAGCTAGCGTTGCTAAGTAACGAACTTTTAGAATGTTGACTTTCGTGGCTAAACGAGGAAACATTGGGAAGCATCGTTTCCATGCGTCTTGGAAGCATGAAATGTTTCTGTCTTCACAGCAGAAACATTTTTGCGTCTTGGAAGCAAAATTTGCTGCACGTAGCAATGTTTCGCATGTGGCTTGGAAACGTCGGGGAACATGCGCGCGGGAAACATGTTTCTGGAAACTTGTTTCCCCGTTTAGCGAGGGCCTAAAACTTCTTTGTCTTCGTGCTGCACATGTCTTCGCATTACAGACCCTGTGTCATTCCTTAGAGTACCAAATTTTTGTTTGCGCAGGAGATGGATACAACTAAAAAATTGCAGCTACGCTTCAAATTCAAAATTGCGAGATAAGTTGTAAGAAAAATTATCCAATAAAGGAACTGAGTGGTCGGTAACCAAGAATTTGAGCTTTTATTGATACTGTTCTAAAGATTATAGATTTTATTGGTATTAAAGATCATGATATATGAAGACAGTGTTGAATCAATTGAAGAGCTTCCATCAAACATGGCGATTAGTGTAGCTTACCGTTTCATTGCTACGCACTGATGGAGACAACAGTCGCGACAAGGAAATCGGGCAATACCGACACGAGTGAAAAACGTCTGCGCATGCTCTGAATTCGTATRCAAATTAGTCAAAACCAGTAAATTTGACTCTCAAACACGCCTTATAAATCTTGGACTTCACAAAATGCCAAAACTTAGTGTCCGTGCTTGAAACTTAAGACTAATTCTTTCATATTGTGTTTGTTAATGCAGTATCTTGGTCTGACAAAAGTATACTCTCGAACTTTTTTGTATACTTGGAGAAAACAATTTGTTTTCTCACTCAAACTCTTCAAAATTCTTAGAAAACGTGCTGAAGTGCACGCATGCGCAAACGTTTTCCCCTGGTGTCGGCAATACTTACTGTCAATCAAAGTATGTACGAACAATATATTTGATTGACGGCAGTGTACTGCCTGATTTACTTGTCGTCTAGATCAGCGCGTAGCAATGAAAACAATGGTAAGGTCAATACGAAAGTACTGGAAATGGTCGCAGCATCTCTTTCGGATTCCAATTAACAATTTGGTTTCTCTAATAGCGATTTCTGCTACTCAAATTAAAGTTGCAGCGTTAACTTGCCTTTTAAGTTTACGCAAAAAAATAAAATGAAATAAAAAAATCGAGTGAATAATTTTTGATTGTAAGAATTTGACATTGAATTCGAGTTGAAAAATTATTTTTTATGGACTGGTGATAAAATATGTAAACCATGCACACTACCTCCCCCTCCCTCATTTTTTTTTTTTAAGTATGCAAATTGAACAAAAAGCAGTTATCTTCCACTTGGTCAATGATCAAAGTTAAGACTCATGGATTTTCTTGGATGGTTTTGCGGATCCAGTTAACAAATGGCGCAACCTTGGTAAAATAACTATACTTGTCTCTTAATCCACACCCCTCCCCCCACGATATCAACCCAACAGACACCCATCTGTGTTCGCTGTCTCTTAATACTTCCCTGACAAAGCTTCCACCGCTGTCTCCTTGGCAGGTGTCGTTGCCACCTTTCCCATCACCCGCGCAAAACGTCACAGAAGAGTTAAAATGAAATTTGGTTTTCTGGTTACACAAACTATCACTTTGAATTGTGAGTGCGGTGTGCATTAGAGCTCTAGATGTCTTTTTACTCGAACTTGGGCCCTGACCAATTTTGAGAACTTGAGTAGTTCCCCATCCCGCGACAATCCCAACCTTTCCTGGCTGCAGCAAATCTTCATTTTGTTTGGGTAGACAAACCGGGCGAACGAAAGGACCGAGCTTTAATCCATCTGGAAGTTTTATCAGCGCAATGTCATTTTCGTAAAAAGGAAAGTCTTTGTAGTTTGGATAAATGAATATTTCTTCGGCTGGTAGTTCGTGTTCTTCTGGTTCTTTGGTGTATCGATCATCATCTCCCACTTTGATGATAAATCTAACGATTTAGAAAAATGAAATTTAATGAAAGGGTTCGATTGAAACTGTCTCGTTTCACATCCCTTGCCTTCGTTGGTGATCCGGCAGCCATAAGCTTAAAGAAGTACTGCCTTCTAGTTAATGTTACCTACCGATTTGGTATTAACGGTCTTCTTTCGTCGTAAAATGAAGATGCTGCTGTAAGAACCCATCTTTTAGCAATCAATGCTCCTCCACAACGTAAGGCGAGATTACCTAGTTAACGGAAGAATTAAACCGATAAGAAAGCACTCTGACTGGACTACAACCGAACAGCCAATCTCAGCACAAACCGACCAACCAATCACAACATAGGTGATCCGACGAGCCGGCTGTATACATCTATTTCATCAAACGTTGTCGTTCGGAGATCTGATATGGGCGATCTGAGACGAAAACGGAATTTTTGTGCTTTTATGTCTTCTAGCTAAAATACGAAAAAATCACATTTCGAACTCATAGATCATTCTTCATATTCCAATCTAAAAGGCCAAACTACGTTGTTCGGCTGTGAATGTATTACTTGGTGTTACTTGGTGGAGTGTGTTACTTGGTCTCAGGTTTCAGATCTCCGACCGACGTTTTTTTTAAATAGGTGAATAACAGACACACCCTCCAGCCTACACCATCACTTGTCTGATAAAGACTAGCAGTTTGCAGTCTAAACGTACTCATTTTACAAATGACTCTCAATTGTAAGACAAATGAATTAACATGTACGTACAATTTCCACGATGCATAATATTTTTCATTCTATGGATAAACCAAGTGAACATCTATTGTTACTGAAATCCAGGAAGTATTAATAACGAATACTAGAGTTCCTTTTTCCTTTTAACTTTCTGTCACGCAAGCGTCGTTTGATGGAGGTTCGTCGTGTATGGAGCTGCATACCTGTGGATGACCCATCTTCGTAGATCCCAACCTGCCACGGCCATGTTCCCCTTCCAGCTCTGTTTCCTCCCACTATTCTTCCTCGTTGATTATATGGGCTTACGCCACATGCAGCGTAATCTGTCATCGATAAAACCACAGAGTTAAAAAGCCTTTGTTTTTCTTATACTGATGTTCCAAATACTACTTATGAAATCCGTGGCTTTAAGTGAGCACACAGCACGAGCGCGCACTTTCTAATCTTGCCATTCCTGTCCAAAATAACGGTTATTATACTTAATTTCTTATGTTATAACAGAGAAATAAAAACTTTAGTATATGCAGACCCGTGTGTATGCAATTATAAAGCACCTTGGGACTGCCAGAACATTTGAGAAATGCTGAGAAGTAGTGCTGAGAAGTGTTCTACTTCTCCCAACTTCTACTGTGTTCTGAGCAATTTCCGCTTGTTGTAGATAACTGCACACTGTACGCTCGCGCGATTACTATTTCTTCATCATGGGAAGTTGTCCCGCGTAAATATCAAGTACAAAAATGTAAATATGATATTTTACCCCTAGGTTTTTGTGTTGGACTCAAGCACCGTGGTATCTCGTGGTTCCATTGTCCATATCTACACGTGATTACACTTCGTCCAATCAGCTTCTTTCCTTCCATGCACTGGAACCGGATGGTCTTGTTATGGCGAAAATCAAGATCGAACCGAAATCCATCGGTAGGTACGCCGGGGTCCGGACAGAGACCTGAGAAATACAATCACGACGTATAGGACAAGGGGTACTTTTTGGACATATTCTGCCTGTAACCTGTACATATATACACGCGCTGCTTAATGAACAAAAAGGAAGGGTGCCAACTCTAAATCACTTTTGCTAAAGTAGTATTCTTTTAAATAGTTTTTAAGCTTGTTGTCGTCTTATTATTAACTAATTAATCCGAAACCATACTTTCAGAGATCGAGAGTTGCAGTGAAGTATGGAAGCAAGGAACAATATCGGCCAAGCTGTATGTCAGCCCCACCATTGCTGTCCACTAATGATTAATCAGGGAGCTCGACCGAAGCCTGATTCTGATTGGGTATGTTTTCAATGGTATCAGACAACATATTACATACCCCACATACACTTTGGAGGATCGTTATACCACTTGCCATCGTTGCATGTAATATTTGACGTTCCATACATCCTTCGCTTTCCCAGACATCGAAATCGTACCGTTTTACCGTGAGTAAAATCATTATCAATGCGATATCCACCTAAGGGCGTTTGAGGATTTGCACACGGCGCTGAACGGAAAAGATAAGAAATAAAGGCAATCATATATTTTACACTCTATAATGCGTTGCACACAATTCCCCAGAGCAGGAAGCTCATGCATAAAGCGTAGCTGCGCCCTTTACCGATCCCCCCCCCGGTACGTCATTTAAAGCTTGGACACTGGGCTGAGATAAAAAACCCAGAATGTTAAAAAGATTATGATACAGCTAAATATCTAAAAAAGATTTTAAAATTGTATCGATACCCTAGAACAACATACGCTGGGCTGATCAAAGTTTGGGCCCAGATAAGTACATGGAAGATCGCCGGAATATCGCTTCTAAGGTTGTGCGGAGAAGGACCAGGAAAACTCTCGAATCAAGGCTCTTCTCTCAGTACAAGTCATTATATACGAGGGCGGATTTGGCTAGTTTGAATTAGCTTGCAACTGTATTCCCTAGAGAGTCTAGAAGCAATCAATGCTGCCATCAGTCGTTGGTATTGACTAGGTACTGGAAAATTTAAACCTCCAAGTTGGAACTCAAAATTCAAGGAGAGCTTGAGATAAACTTACGTGAACACCTTGTAGTGAAATCCCATTTGCCATCTTTACATCTTATCACGTGGGCACCAACCAAAGTCCATTGACGGAAACACTGAAACCTCACTGTCTTGCCGTGGTGGAAGACATTACCAATTTTTGTACCGCCAAGAATGGCTGGAGGCTTGGAGCACGATGCTGAAAAAAAATAAAGTTAATGGTTAGTGATGGAGCGGCAGTGATCAACAGTTATTTAAATAGAGTGGCTCTTCTTCCACTGGATCCCAGAGGAATTTAGAAGTCGATTTTTGAGGAGGGAGGAAAACCAGGAGAAAAACTCTCGAAGCACAGGAGAGAACCAACGAACAATTCTACTCACATATGACAACGACCCCTGCGGCCGGAGCAGTGGTTAGTGAATTGAAAAACGCCTTCTTTCTATCTACAAACCTCGACACCTTGGTTCTCTCGCAGACAGCCTGCCACGTGAACACCGTCTTATAACACTTTTCCTGCCATTATGGAAAGTGAAGCCTGGCCTACACTTGTACATTACTTGTGAGTAAGAGCCTCGACGTAAAATCAGTCGAGTGCCCTTTGGACGACGCGCTTGAGCCAACCTCTGAATGAGTGATCTACACCTATCTGAAACACGAAACAAAAAATCTCTGAAGTTACTATATGAGCACAAAAAATAGCGCTGGCATGGCTTTACAAGAGTATCGAGAGATAATGGAACTGACACCCTGGGGAAGATTGTTTGCGTGCATTTCCAATAGAGGGAGTTAATAATGAAATTCTCGCTTTATTCAAACAACGCGTTTGTTGGACCAAGATAGTTTTAAATGTTCGCGGTTGGTGATGCCCTTTCTGTAACAGTTGTCAGGCAGGATGGACATTTTGTGAAGTCCATTTGTCAGGATGGATGGACATTTTGTGAAGTTCAACAATCTAGGATGGATGGATATTTTGTGAAGTCCATTTGTCAGGATGGATGGATATTTTGTGAAGTCCATTTGTCAGGATGGATGGATATTTTGTGAAGCCTAGCTGCCAGGCAGGATTGACATTTTGTGAAATATATTTGCCAGGCAGGATGGGCATTTTGTGAAGTCTATTTGTCAGGCAGTAAAGAAGTTTTAGAACCGCACGAAGTATAAGACTAGGTTGTACTCAAACTACAAGCATGCGCAGCTAGACGTTTTTATGTTGACAACATCTTTCGCAATTTCATATTATGATATACATTTAGTATCTGGATATCAGTGTCACAATATTTATAAACTCATGCATAATGTGAATAATTAGGTCTGTTAAATGTCGTTATTTTTCTCACCTCTTTTGCATGCAGGTGCTCTTGTCCACTTTCCACTACTTTTGCACGTCCTTGAAGATTTGCCTTTCATTTTGTAGCCAGAAGAGCAACGGTACACAACATGAGAACCTGTCGAAAAATCGCTACCAGAAAATCGCCCATGTGGGATGTTTCCAGGATTAGCACATCCAGGGACTTGAAAAAAAAGTTATTAAAGATATCAAATACTATATAAGTGGCGCGTTGTGAGTCGTCCCAGAACTGAAAAGGGGGCACACGCGTTCTGGATCAAATGTTTCCGCAAATACAGGATATATCACAGTATTTAAGACATCGAGAAAAACAATTAGCTAGCGAGCTATCAGAATTGGAGTGCAAGTGCACGCGTTTTGTTGCAAAACGTTCCCGCCAATTGCATAGAAACTCCATCAGAATAAGCCATCAAGTGTAAAAAATAAATATCTGCAGCTCAAAAATCACACTATTTTACGTACTTAATAGGCCCTTTGCAGTTAACGGTCACSTGTCTGTACTGGACTGCACAATTTTTGTTTTTATATTAAATTGGTGATTCTTTTTAGCTACTTCTAAAGAACTGAATGAAAACATGTGTAACCAGTGTGTTACGAAATGCAGTTTTATTACGATCTCTCGAAACAGGTTGTAGAAAGTTTGTTTGCAGTCCAGTAAATTTCACCCTTGGGAATCAAAATGTTCATTCATTTGCTCTCAGTGAATTAATCAGCACGTGATTGCTTAGCTGCAAAGGGCCTATTAGTGACATATACTCACAAATTTTCTGTTGAATCCAGTCGATGAATGCTTCTATCCTTGTGTTGTAACCGTACTTGTCTTTCACAGCACATCCCTCACCCCAGCTGACCAGACCAACCGACACCCATCGGTACACACCCTTTCTCAATACCTTTCTAACCAAACTACCACCACTATCACCTTTACAGGTATCTGTAAGTCCTTTACCATCACCAGAACAAAACGTCACTGAACTATTAAAGAAATAGGTGGTGGACTGATCGCATTTGTTGTCGCTTTGGATTTTAAATACGGAATACTTGAGAATTGGAGAGAATAAGCTGTGCTGTGATCTCCCCCATCCGGGAACACTAATGAGCCGGCCTTGCTTGGTCAGCGGTCTCTCGCTTTTCTCTGGCAAGCAGACAGTGCGTACGTAGGGGCTGAATGTGACACTTTGGTTGAGTTGAATTAATGCAATGTCATTCTCGTAGTAAGGAGCATGGCGATAGTTTGGATGGATGAGAATCTCTGAAGCGAAACGCGTCTGTTCTGATAAATCATTTTGGTGTATATTGTGGTCCCCGGCCACTACGGAATACCTACGAAATAATTAAAGGAAATCAATCAATCAATCAATCAATCAATCAATCAATCAATCAATCAATCAATCAATCAATCAATCAATCAATCAATCAATCAATCAATCA